TAATAATAATAATAATAATAATAATAATAATATTGCCTGTTGTGGTGGCATTGAAGGGAATATTCTGCTCTTTATTTGTGCTCGTGAACTATTAGAAGCATTTACTAATCAGGGTCTGCTGTGCTCATCATTTTCCCTCAAGCCATTGAGCTTGACTCATACTGAAGGTGAACTGTGTTCCATGGAGCATGCTGAGGCTGTGATCCCAAGTGAATGCTAGTGAAGTGGAAATTAATATCTGCATTCATTTTACTTCTTCAAAGTGAATATTCAGCGTTAGGCCCTTGCAACTAAAGAGAGAAGCCCGAAAGCAAAATTTCTGAAGGATAAAACACATCAAAGTGAAGTGAAAAGGATCAGTGTGTTTATTATTCAATTAAACTCTGACATAATTGTGCCCAGGTCGTCCATGGGAGGAGGCATGGCTGGGAAAGTAGAGGCAGTGATCACATAAAAAGCAAATCTTAGACTGATACCTTACACAACTGACTACAGCTTATGTGAGTTTGTTACAGAGTGTTACACCTAATGATATACCCTCTGTAGACTGAAGTTTTTCTTCTACCTATAGGTGCTTAGATGGAACTTCAGTAAACTGTAGAGATCCTTCTATTTAAAAAAATAGATTCCTTTCACTTTGTGTGATTGATTTGAGCCAGTGCAAAAAGGACACACTGGGTGAATGAGTGCATACGCACCCACACCCACAAAGCAATGGCTTGACAAAGCACCTTTGCTCTTGTCTCTTGCCTATCAAGGGAGGACTGAACCCCTGGACATGAGTTCACACACATGCACGCAAGCAGCACCAGCACTTACCTCTCTCTGCAAAGCCTCTCCTCTCCCAAGAGACTTCTTTTCTCCCCATCTAATTTTTTAACAAAGCCTCTCTTGGGTGGGAAGTTATGTTAACTTATTTTTTAAGCAGCATAAAAGCTAACCAGGGAAATAAGTGACTGAGGAAGGAAAGCATTCTTAAGGCAGTTCCTTTGGACGCACCAGATACAGGCACTTCAAATGAACTGCAATTAGAAGACTTTTTTTTCCTCCTCTGCTTGTGTTGCCGCTTGTATGGAAAGGAACCAAATGCCCTGGTGGGACCTCACTGTGAGAAAATTAGAGTTAATTCACGTTTCCCTCACTGTGTAGTCAAACCCTAACTCATATTCTCTTGCTGCGAAGTTGTACCATGGGATTTGATTCTTTTTTATTCAAGTGGCAACAAAGGCAAAGGAGTAAAAGGTAGTCTAACTTGAGTTCTGTTTTAGTTCAATCACATGTAAGAAAAGAATCCTGGTTATATCAATTCTTTTCATCCTTCTCTTTCCTACTGGTCATGTAGTATATATATTGGTGGGAGTTTTTACGTTGTTTAGACCTGTTGATTCATTTTCTTCTATTTGAACCATTACAGCCGGCTAAATGGCTCTTTAATTTTCTACCAATTCATTTTCTCCACTGTTTCTTGGGGCAATCAGCCCCCCCCCCCGTCCTTTCTTTTTAATTGCCAAAGGCTATATATTGATAGAGGGTACAAACCTTCTCTCCTCCCCTTTTCCCTTTCCTCTTTTACTCACTCATCCCCTTTTCCTTATTTCCCTGCATATCTCTCCTTCTCAGTTCTTGGCTTTCATTTTTCTTTTTCCTTTTGTACAGCATTGGGAGGAGGAAGAGGGTTTTAAAAGACTTGCAAAGTATTATGTAGAGCATGGTTGTTGTTGTTTTTTTTAAAAAAGAGAGGAGACATTCATATAATGCCCTTTTCTTTACAACTCAAAGCAGGAAATTTCCCTTTCTTGGCTCAAGCCCTCTTTACCCGCAAGAGATGGGGGAAGGGAGTCTCCTGAGCAATGTTTATGGCAATGTTTGCTAGCGATTTACTGATATCCCTTTAAAAAAAATTAAGAGTACAAGCGCAGTGACCATGAAGTAGCCACAACATCCAAATCTCTGACTCCTTCGCAAAGGAAATAAATTGACAGCAAATGTTCACACATGCTGAAATGATAAAGATTTAAGCAATACATCAATGGAAAAAAATTTAAACCACCCTCCCGGAAAGGGGGAAATAAACCGATTGGGGGGGGCAAATGAATCGATATTAGCCATGTGTCATGTGAACGGAACATTTTGAAACAATCCAAATAACAGACAAAATGGTATAGATGAGTATAACTTTGGGCCAGTGTGATCAAGATCTCAGTGACTCTGTTTGCTCATCTTATCTTGCTCAGCAGAGAGATTGTTAAACTGTAAATAAATAACAAACAGGAGAAGCTATTTAACAAGAGAGATGCCTTGTGTATATGTGTGTATGCACCCTTCTCATCTTTCCTTGTGAGGCAAGAAATGAAAGGGAAGGTGCTTTGCTAAAGCTCTCCTCTGTGTGTGTGTGTGTGTGTGTGTGTGTGTGTGTGTGTGTGTGTGTGTTGGTCTTTCCTTTTTGTATTGGTTCAAAACAATCACACATTTGAACCAAAACAAAAAGATTTGACTTTTTAAAAATTAGAAGGGTCTCTGGCTGGAGGAAAAACTACTGATTTTGTGTATGGGATTCTAAGCTGATTCACATTTTCTGTTGCAGCATATGATGGGAGGGATGTGAATTGCCCCCCGTGAGCCTGTAGTATCACCAAAAACATTTTGTGTGTAGTCCAGCTCCATGTGTATGAATGCCCACTTTTGCCCCAGTTCTGCCTGCTACCCTGGCTCTTCCCATTATTGGCTGCTGGGCATTCTGTTCCACTAATACTCATAAAGCGCACAAGTTACCACTGCCCTCTTCTATTGAAGGTGCAGGAGCCAGCTTCCCTTCTCATTATTATCACCCTAACTGGCACAGGAAAAACAAGAAGAGCCAATGAGCGGGGGGAAAACATGAGTTGGTTAATTTTGCAAGCGTTTTGAGCTGGCTTTTTCCCCTCTAGAAGCTGCACATAAAGAAGAATCCCCTTTCCCCCACTTGCTACATTGAGTTTGCATCATGGAAATGTCACTGCATGACAACACTCCATTTCATGGGAATTTCCATTATACAAATAGGGAGATTTAATCATGAAACTATGCTGTGGGACAGAAAAGTCATTTGAAGTTTACCAGCTTGCAGTTGCCAAAACCCTATTAATTTTGTGACAAGCCTGTTAATTCTGTTGTGAGGACTAGTTTTTAAATGGCAGCAGCTTTGAGCCTGTTACTACTTCAAAATTTTTTTTTACAAAAAAGGACAAGAGTAATCTAATCCACAATAGGAAATATTTCATTTGTTAAATTTCTATCCATATCACCGTTCATGCAACCTAAAGCAAATAGATTGCTTTAAAAAATAATTATCAAACAGGGGAGAGTCAAAACCGACTGAGAATTTACTCCCTGTAACCAACTAGCAAGCTGACATGTTTATCTTGTTTTAAAAGAGTTGAATAACTATCTATCCAGCTGGATGGGGAAAAAAATCCACAATCCTTTCTCTCATTTTGTTACAAAAAAGATGGAATTTTCCAGGATCTGCCTTCAAACTTCTCTTTAAAAATTCTATTTTTTTTCTTTTTGATAAAAACTCCTCTTCCCTGCTGAGGTTTTTGTTGTGGGTCTTTTTCTCTTTAAGTGCTAATTGAATTCTCCTGCCAAGAGGCTCTCACTGGACATTCACTTTGAATGGGGAAGGATCATAGTACTAAACACTATTCTTCAGAAAAATGTCATGCTAAAAATAAGCCATACTTTAATTAATTAAAGTTAAATTAAATAAATTTAATTTAATTTATGCCCCTTCCATCTAGACCAAAGTCTACTTTGGGCAGCTAAAAATAATAGATAAAATAAAACAATATAATAAAATAAAAAACAACAGTAGTAATACAGTGGTGCCTCG